GGACTTACTTTGCTTGCTGTCTTGGCCCCTGCGTGGCCTTCTGTGGCCCCGCGTGTCCTTGCTTCGCTTACTTTGCTTCCTGTCATGGCCCCTGCGTGGCCTTCCGTGGCCGCCGCGTGGCCTTACTTTGCTCACGTTGCTTCCTGTCATGGCCCCTGCGTGGCCTTCCGTGGCCGCCGCGTGGCCTTACTTTGCTCACGTTGCTTCCTGTCTTGGCCCCTGCGTGGCCTTCCGTGGCCGCCGCGTGGCCTTACTTTGCTCACGTTGCTTCCTGTCTTGGCCCCTGCGTGGCGTTCCGTGGCCGCCGCTTGGCCTTACTTTGCTCACTTTGCCCTTCCGGCGTGGCCTTCTGAGGCCCCAGCGTGGCCTTGCTTCGTCTACTTTGCCCACGCGTGGCCCTCCGTGGCCGCCACGTGGCCTTACTTTGCTCACTTTGCTTCCTGTCTTGGCCCTTGCGTGAGCTTCATGGCCTTGCTTCGCCTACTTTGAAGGCCCCTGCAGCGTGGCCTTCTGTGGCCCCGCGTGGCCTTACTTTGCTGTCTTTGCTTCCTGTCTTGGCCCTTGCGTGGCCGTGGCCACCTGCGAGTCTTGCTTACTTTGCTTCCGTCTTTGGCTGCTGGACCCTTGCAAGAATTTTGTCTTGGCCCCTGCATGGCCTTCTTCGGCCCCCGTGTGGCCATACTTTGCCTTTCTCTGCTTCCTCTTTTTGCTCCGACCCTCTGTCGCCTTCGCGTGGCCTTGCTCTCTTCTCTGTCTGGGGCCCTGCGCATCCTTCTGCGGCCCCGCATGGCATGTTTGGCCCTGCGTGGCCTTACCTTGCTCACCTTGCTTCCTGTCTCGGCCCCGTCATGGCCTTCTGTGGCCTTCTCGTGGCCTTCCTGCACTTCCTGTCTTGGCCCTTGCGTGGCCCTCCGCGGCCCCAGCGTGGGCATTACTTGCTTTGCTGTTTTCCACACTTGCGCCACCCTTGGGTTGATCCGCTCGCCCATGGTGTGGCCTGTGTCTTGGCTGCATCTAGTTTCTGGCCGGCTTGAACCCCAAGCTTCGGGCGGGGGGGAAGCGCGGGCCTGGCCTCGCTAACATGCGCTGGCCAGAAACCACCAACCAACCAACCAAACAACCAACCAACAACCCCCAACCAAACCAAACCAACCACCAACCAACCAACCAAACCAACCAACCAACCAACCAACCAACCAACCAACCAACCAACCAACCAACCAACCAACCAACCAACCAACCAACCAACCAACCAACCAACCAACCAACCAATCACTCTGTGCTATGACTTTGTGCTATGACTCTGTGCAATGACTCTGATGATGATAACCCTTTGCAGTGACTCTCATGATGATAACTCCCATGAACCCAACGGAAGAACCCTTCGCCATGCTTTCGGGAAAAGCTGGACTTTATCATATTTTCCCGCTCGACGGCTCAGGTAACTTTTATCACCTTTAACCGCGAGAGCAATCTGCTTTTCACGTGCAGCAAGGACTGTCTATGAGCAATGTGTTTGACGTCCATCTCATGTGCCTGCAGAGAAGTTGAGGACAAGGTGGTTTGTGTTTGGAGCTTCCCTGATGGGGAGCTTCTTGGCAGCTACAAGGGCCACAACGGAGCGGCATTGCTGGCAAGTTGATCGACTTCAGTCGCCAATTCTGACGTTTTCGGGGCTCGGCTCGTTGTATTTGTTGACAACATGTGACAGGTGTGGGCTTGCAGTGCCACCTTCGACTCCAGGCGCGGGAAGGGACTCCATAATGTTGGCAATCCGAAGCACTGGTTACGTGGCCTCAGGGCTTTGCTGAGTCTGTCCAGATTCCGAGTTGTCCTTCCTGGACATGATTTTTTGACAGTGCGTATTTCCTGGGAGAGAAAGCAAGTGCATACTGGGCTCAAGAAAAGCCTTGCTCGTACTGGTGACACTGCGAGCCATGTAGTGCCGTCGGCATTGGGAGCAGTGTCCAGGAGCAGATGCTTCTAGTCTCAGCATTCCTCCAACGTTTGGATATTTGGAGCGCAGTCTCGCAGTCTCTTCTCGTTAGGCCATGTTGCCACCTTGCCCATGGTGCCAAGGTGACTGATGCCCCGAGCCTGTCTCTCGCTTTGGAGATGGCCAAAGCCTTGCTATCCAGGCGGGAGATCTCTTGAGCACAGTGCTGGAAATCTTCTTCAAAAGAGGACGTCAGAGCACCCTGCTCGAAATCTAGCACACGAAGCCTGATTTGGAGTTGCATTCACTTTTCAGGCTTCAGTTTCAAGGACGACTTCAGATCAGTCAGGAGACGAGCTGGGCGTGTCTCCGATTTTGCACAGCACGGGAGTCCATCAGGCTCGAGATTACTTGCCGCAGCGGCCATGCCTCAGGAGGACGTCGTCAGTCTTCGGAAGCTTCTGCAGGAAGCAACCTTGACTCCCGAAGAGGCGGGCCTTTGGCAGTGCCTTGACAGGGCTCCTTAAAAGATATATTTTGCCCATTTAAGACATGGCTTTTTCCACCAAAATAAAGGGAACCACAATTTTTTACAAGGCAATGTTCGGGTGTATAATGTAAGGATCCCTGCTTGACTCTAGCCCGTCCCAACCGTTTAAAGTGAGAGACTGAACACACTAAGTGACACTAACCAACTGTCACGTGGAAACTGGGCATCGCGAGGTCTGCAATGCAGCGCTGACCTGCGCCAAGCTGCTGCGCCGAGATGCTGGCTTATGGGAGGCGCTGATGCCAGCACTTCAGCAGCACCGTGCTTTGGCCGCGGAATGAAGGGGATCCAAACATGTTGGGTTGTTCAGAGCTTCTTCCCTTACTGCTTCGAAATGGTTGAGTATGACTCTCTTTGCCTGGCTGGATAAGATGGATGAAAGCTTTTGAGGTGATTGGCCCCTTGCATTAGCAGAGGACACAGACTGCGCGTGTTTGGCGTAGGTGCAGATCTGACTTCGCAGTGTCTGCAGAAGTTGCCTGTTTACTTTGCAAGAAGCAGGCTGGAGCGGGACAGTGCGGGTTGGCATACGAGGCAATTCCAGGAGCATTCTTCAAGATCGAGAGTCGGTTCGGGAAGAGACAGGTGGCGGCCGGCCGGGCTGCTAGAGCTGGTGGCTGCTGCAGCAGAGCCCCGTGTGGCCGCTTTCGGGGGTCGTGGCCTGGCAGAGCTGGTCTGGGCCCAAGCGCGGCTGCGAGGCCGTGCGCCAGGAGCGCTTGGCCGTGTCCATTTGGAAATGCGAGAATCCTCACATCTGGCCTGATCGCCGGGATGCACTTCCGATAGTCTGACATAGTCCAGTCACCAGACACCAAAACCTCCAGGACTCTTCGGTGCTATCGCCAATGCTGCCTGCGCCACACCGGACAGCTTCACCCCTCCGGAGGTCTCAAAGGCAGCCTGGGCATATGCAGCCTCCGCTTTGCGGGAAGGCACGGAGTCACAGAAAAGACAAAGAGAAAAACAGTCACAGAGACAACAACAGCTCGTCCACAGGATTCGCAAGATAGGCCTGGCAAGATCGGGCCTTGATTCCCCCTTGATGAAAACCACTCCCGGACAAGCAGAGCAGAGGAATCCATATTTTGCCATTTTGCCCATGCAAGGTGCTCTTTTTGCCGCATTCGCAAAGACCTCCAGCGCGCGTATCAACGAGTTCGGCTCGCAAGGCTTGGCAAATTTGATTTGGGCCTCTAGGCAGCAGTATGCGCTTGTTTTAGAAGTGCTCCGGAACAAAGTGAGTGATTTGGCCAGAGATGTCCTTTGCGTCAGTAGGTTTACTCAGGCCTTTGCGACGCTCTCACATCAAGATGCAGAACTTCAGATGGCTCTCAGCGAAGTGGCTTACCGGAGGATGCAGAACTTCACACCGCAGGGGCTGGCAAACTTGGCCTGGGCCTATGCCAAGCTTTTCCACAAGGACAGAGGAACGCTGAGTTCGCAGATAGCCCTCCGCACTTGAAGGTTGTAGGAATTGCCAAGTGACAGCGTGCATTGCGTGGCTGCCACCTTTTCCTTTTGCTGTGACCCCTTAGGATGAGGTGCTCTTCAGCGGCATTGCAGAGGAGTCCCTGTTGCAGCTCAGCTCCTTTACTCCCCAGAATGTGGCGAACACGCTTTGGTCCTTCGCGAAGGTCCGCCATGTCCACTTGGAACTCTTTGGCGCGGCCTCGGCGCATCTCCAGCAGCATGCGGGCGAGTTCAGCACGCAGGCGCTTGTGAACTCGGCGTGGGCCATGGCTGAGGTCGCTTTGTACGATGAGGAGGTCTTTGGGGAAGTTGCGGATGCGGCATCTCGAAAGATTGATGAATACAAAGCACAAGACTTGTCCAATTTGGTTTGGTCCTTGGCCCAAGTCCTGCACTACGACCAGAGAGCCTTGCTGGCAGTCGCAGATTCAGCTGCAGCAAAGGCTGATACATTTACGTGTCAGCATCTAGTGTGCGTGGCCTGGGCATTTGCGCTTCTATCTGAGCAGTGTGGAGAGTAAGCTTACCTGCTGCAGTGCTCTTTCCTTGCACACGGAACACGAGCATCATGCGCAGTGCACTTTGGCGTCAATCCTCTTCATGATGCGCGTGCGCACGGTCATCGTGGGGGCGACCGATCTCCACTGAGGGTGAATTGCTACGAGCGTAACGAAATCTGAGATCAAGGGCACTACAAGCAGCGCGGAGTGCACACGGTGCCCAAGCACAAGCCTGGTGATAGTTCATTTGTGCCAGAGGAGTAGTAGTAGCTGGCATAGCAGCCCGAGTTTCTTTTTGCAGCTTGAGCAGGTCGGTTTTGCAAGTACAATCGAAAAAAATGGCCTGGTCGCTCCGCAATGGGCAGCGGCTTGCACCTGAGCGTGGATGTGCTCTGACGTTTACTTCAATTCTCACATGGAAACCAGCTTAAGAATTTGCCTCCAACGTTCCCTGCGGCCGTTTTTAGACAGGCACAAGCCCTTCACGCTTAGGATCTCAAGGCGAGCTCCAAGTGAGCTCAAGCTAAGCTTCTCGCTTTCTGTCATGGCACTTCGCGGACAGACAGCGCCTTTTGGCCCCTACGGCGGCCTGCTGCTGAGCTTTTGGAGGAGGGAGCGTACCGAGGAGACGCCCGAGCGCCTGGAGGCGCTGGGAGCGGGCTCGGGCGCTGCCGACGTGGAGTACGAGCAGTTTGTGAAGGCTAAGGAGATCCAGAGGGCCATGTTCCAGGCAGGGAGGGACGGGCGCTGGCTGTGGGCACCGGCTGGTGTGAGTCTAGGGGTCTAGGCCTTTCAGAAGCACAGCGTTTGCGAGCGAAAACGGCGCAGGCGGAGAACAAGACCATTGTGCACCAGTGCGCGGACACCGATATCATCGAGGCAGCGCAAGGTTCGGTGGCTTGCATTGATGGGAACCAGGCAGCAGCTCACGTGGCCTACGCCCTCAGTGACTGCGCCTTCATTTACCCCATCACGCCCAGCTCGCCCATGGGTGAAATGGTGGACGAGTGGGCTGCCCAGGGCCTCATCAACTGCTACGGCCAGAAGCTGAGTGTCACGGAGATGCAGAGCGAGGCTGGTGCGGCGGGAGCGCTGCATGGCTCCTTGAAGGCGGGCGCCTTGGGCACGACCTTCACTGCCAGCCAGGGGCTGCTGCTGATGATCCCCAACATGTACAAGATCGCTGGGGAGCTGCTGCCCTGCGTGATGCACGTGGCGGCGCGGGCCCTGGCCGGGCAGGCGCTGTCCATCTTTGGGGATCACTCAGACGTGATGGCCTGCCGTGCCACGGGCTGGGCGATGCTGGCCTCAGAGTCCGTGGAGATGGCGCAGGTGAACGCGCTGGTATCGCACCTGGTGACCATGGAGAGGCGTGTGCCGGTGCAGCACTTCTTTGACGGCTTCCGCACCAGCCACGAGGTGAACAAGGTGAAGCTCATCGACTACAACACCATGAAGAGTTTCATCAACTGGGATGCCATCAAGGAGCATCACGATTTGGCCATGAACCCAAGGCATCCCCATGTGCAGGGCACCTCGCAGGGCCCCGACATCTTCTTCCAGTGCGTGGAGGCAGGGAACAGCTTCTACGACGGGCTGGCGGATCTGTTCGAGGAGAAGGGCAAGCTGATCCAGCAGAAGACGGGTCTGCACTTCGCCTTGTACGGCTATGAGGGCCACCCGGAGGCGGAGCGCGTGGTCGTGGTCATGGGCAGTGCAGCGGTGACCTGCGGGGAGACGGCGGACTACCTCTCCAAGAAAGGCGAGAAGGTGGGCGTGCTGAAGGTGAGGCTCTTCCGTCCCTGGGACTGCAGCCGATTCCTGGCCGCGCTCCCCACCACCACGAAGCGCATTTGTGTGCTGGACCGGACCAAGGAGCCTGGCTCCCAGGGTGAGCCCCTGCTGTTGGAGGTGGCCGCCACCCTCCATGCCAGCGCTCACTCTGAGGTTGTTGCTGCTTGGCTGTGAGTGCGGATGTCCTGAGCTCTTGATGTCCTCTTGATGCCTTGCCCTTGGTGTTCTTGCTTGGTGTCGGTCTTGTCGTTTGCCCGCGCCTGCCGTCCCTTCTCTTCACAGTCGTCCGCGCAGCTTGTAAGGTCATCGGCGGCCGTTACGGCCTGGGCTCCAAAGAGTTCACGCCCAACATGGTGCTCTCCGTCTTCGAGAACTTGGGAGCGGAGACACCCAAGCCCCGCTTTACCGTGGGCATCAATGATGATGTCACGCATCTGTCTTTGCCTGTAGGTCCCTGGCTCAATGTTTTGCCTGAGGGCACCACTGAGTGCATGTTCTACGGATTGGGCAGCGACGGAACCGTGGGCGCCAACAAGAGCGCGGTGAAGATGATCGCGCTCGGGACAGAGCTGCATGCCCAAGCCTACTTTGAGTACGATGCCAAGAAGAGTGGCGGAGTCACCATCAGCCACTTGCGCTTCGGCCCCAAGCCGATCCACGCTCCATACAATGTGCGAGCCGCAGATTATTTGGCCATCCACAAGCAGAGCTACGTGCAGCAGTACGACATGACGAGGTATCTGAAGCAGAATGCGGTGTGCGTGATCAATTGCTCGTGGGGCAAAGACGAGCTGGAGAAACAGCTGCCGGCGAAAATGCGCAAGGACTTGGCCAGCAAGGGAGCCAAGCTCTTCATCATCGATGCAACCAAGATCGCTGTGAAGGCGGGCTTGGGCAAACGTATCAACATGATCATGCAGACGGTCTTCTTCAAGCTGAGCGCCGTGATGCCCTACGAAGAGGCAGTGGAGATGCTCAAGAAGAGCATCAAGAAAATGTACGGCAAGAAGGGCGATGCGGTGGTGAAGATGAACATCGACGGCGTGGATGCCTCCATTGAGGGCATCATCCCCTGTGAGATCCCGGCATCTTGGGCACAGGTGGAGGTGGAGGGCGATACCGGCGCTGCCCAACGCAAGATGGGTCCCTACGCCAAGGGTCCTCGGATGTTCCCTGAGCTGCAGGATGCCGAACAGTTCGCCAAGCAGGTGCAGGCCCCTTGCAACAGCCTGGACGGCAGTGCCCTGCCGGTGAGCGCCTTTGTGCCAGGCGGCCGTGTTCCGCTGGGCCACCAGCCAGTACGATGAAGCGCGGTATCGTGCCTGCAGAGAAGTTGAGGACAAGGTGGTTTGTGTTTGGAGCTTCCCTGATGGGGAGCTTCTTGGCAGCTACAAGGGCCACAACGGAGCGGCATTGCTGGCAAGTTGATCGACTTCAGTCGCCAATTCTGACGTTTTCGGGGCTCGGCTCGTTGTATTTGTTGACAACATGTGACAGGTGTGGGCTTGCAGTGCCACCTTCGACTCCAGGCGCGGGAAGGGACTCCATAATGTTGGCAATCCGAAGCACTGGTTACGTGGCCTCAGGGCTTTGCTGAGTCTGTCCAGATTCCGAGTTGTCCTTCCTGGACATGATTTTTTGACAGTGCGTATTTCCTGGGAGAGAAAGCAAGTGCATACTGGGCTCAAGAAAAGCCTTGCTCGTACTGGTGACACTGCGAGCCATGTAGTGCCGTCGGCATTGGGAGCAGTGTCCAGGAGCAGATGCTTCTAGTCTCAGCATTCCTCCAACGTTTGGATATTTGGAGCGCAGTCTCGCAGTCTCTTCTCGTTAGGCCATGTTGCCACCTTGCCCATGGTGCCAAGGTGACTGATGCCCCGAGCCTGTCTCTCGCTTTGGAGATGGCCAAAGCCTTGCTATCCAGGCGGGAGATCTCTTGAGCACAGTGCTGGAAATCTTCTTCAAAAGAGGACGTCAGAGCACCCTGCTCGAAATCTAGCACACGAAGCCTGATTTGGAGTTGCATTCACTTTTCAGGCTTCAGTTTCAAGGACGACTTCAGATCAGTCAGGAGACGAGCTGGGCGTGTCTCCGATTTTGCACAGCACGGGAGTCCATCAGGCTCGAGATTACTTGCCGCAGCGGCCATGCCTCAGGAGGACGTCGTCAGTCTTCGGAAGCTTCTGCAGGAAGCAACCTTGACTCCCGAAGAGGCGGGCCTTTGGCAGTGCCTTGACAGGGCTCCTTAAAAGATATATTTTGCCCATTTAAGACATGGCTTTTTCCACCAAAATAAAGGGAACCACAATTTTTTACAAGGCAATGTTCGGGTGTATAATGTAAGGATCCCTGCTTGACTCTAGCCCGTCCCAACCGTTTAAAGTGAGAGACTGAACACACTAAGTGACACTAACCAACTGTCACGTGGAAACTGGGCATCGCGAGGTCTGCAATGCAGCGCTGACCTGCGCCAAGCTGCTGCGCCGAGATGCTGGCTTATGGGAGGCGCTGATGCCAGCACTTCAGCAGCACCGTGCTTTGGCCGCGGAATGAAGGGGATCCAAACATGTTGGGTTGTTCAGAGCTTCTTCCCTTACTGCTTCGAAATGGTTGAGTATGACTCTCTTTGCCTGGCTGGATAAGATGGATGAAAGCTTTTGAGGTGATTGGCCCCTTGCATTAGCAGAGGACACAGACTGCGCGTGTTTGGCGTAGGTGCAGATCTGACTTCGCAGTGTCTGCAGAAGTTGCCTGTTTACTTTGCAAGAAGCAGGCTGGAGCGGGACAGTGCGGGTTGGCATACGAGGCAATTCCAGGAGCATTCTTCAAGATCGAGAGTCGGTTCGGGAAGAGACAGGTGGCGGCCGGCCGGGCTGCTAGAGCTGGTGGCTGCTGCAGCAGAGCCCCGTGTGGCCGCTTTCGGGGGTCGTGGCCTGGCAGAGCTGGTCTGGGCCCAAGCGCGGCTGCGAGGCCGTGCGCCAGGAGCGCTTGGCCGTGTCCATTTGGAAATGCGAGAATCCTCACATCTGGCCTGATCGCCGGGATGCACTTCCGATAGTCTGACATAGTCCAGTCACCAGACACCAAAACCTCCAGGACTCTTCGGTGCTATCGCCAATGCTGCCTGCGCCACACCGGACAGCTTCACCCCTCCGGAGGTCTCAAAGGCAGCCTGGGCATATGCAGCCTCCGCTTTGCGGGAAGGCACGGAGTCACAGAAAAGACAAAGAGAAAAACAGTCACAGAGACAACAACAGCTCGTCCACAGGATTCGCAAGATAGGCCTGGCAAGATCGGGCCTTGATTCCCCCTTGATGAAAACCACTCCCGGACAAGCAGAGCAGAGGAATCCATATTTTGCCATTTTGCCCATGCAAGGTGCTCTTTTTGCCGCATTCGCAAAGACCTCCAGCGCGCGTATCAACGAGTTCGGCTCGCAAGGCTTGGCAAATTTGATTTGGGCCTCTAGGCAGCAGTATGCGCTTGTTTTAGAAGTGCTCCGGAACAAAGTGAGTGATTTGGCCAGAGATGTCCTTTGCGTCAGTAGGTTTACTCAGGCCTTTGCGACGCTCTCACATCAAGATGCAGAACTTCAGATGGCTCTCAGCGAAGTGGCTTACCGGAGGATGCAGAACTTCACACCGCAGGGGCTGGCAAACTTGGCCTGGGCCTATGCCAAGCTTTTCCACAAGGACAGAGGAACGCTGAGTTCGCAGATAGCCCTCCGCACTTGAAGGTTGTAGGAATTGCCAAGTGACAGCGTGCATTGCGTGGCTGCCACCTTTTCCTTTTGCTGTGACCCCTTAGGATGAGGTGCTCTTCAGCGGCATTGCAGAGGAGTCCCTGTTGCAGCTCAGCTCCTTTACTCCCCAGAATGTGGCGAACACGCTTTGGTCCTTCGCGAAGGTCCGCCATGTCCACTTGGAACTCTTTGGCGCGGCCTCGGCGCATCTCCAGCAGCATGCGGGCGAGTTCAGCACGCAGGCGCTTGTGAACTCGGCGTGGGCCATGGCTGAGGTCGCTTTGTACGATGAGGAGGTCTTTGGGGAAGTTGCGGATGCGGCATCTCGAAAGATTGATGAATACAAAGCACAAGACTTGTCCAATTTGGTTTGGTCCTTGGCCCAAGTCCTGCACTACGACCAGAGAGCCTTGCTGGCAGTCGCAGATTCAGCTGCAGCAAAGGCTGATACATTTACGTGTCAGCATCTAGTGTGCGTGGCCTGGGCATTTGCGCTTCTATCTGAGCAGTGTGGAGAGTAAGCTTACCTGCTGCAGTGCTCTTTCCTTGCACACGGAACACGAGCATCATGCGCAGTGCACTTTGGCGTCAATCCTCTTCATGATGCGCGTGCGCACGGTCATCGTGGGGGCGACCGATCTCCACTGAGGGTGAATTGCTACGAGCGTAACGAAATCTGAGATCAAGGGCACTACAAGCAGCGCGGAGTGCACACGGTGCCCAAGCACAAGCCTGGTGATAGTTCATTTGTGCCAGAGGAGTAGTAGTAGCTGGCATAGCAGCCCGAGTTTCTTTTTGCAGCTTGAGCAGGTCGGTTTTGCAAGTACAATCGAAAAAAATGGCCTGGTCGCTCCGCAATGGGCAGCGGCTTGCACCTGAGCGTGGATGTGCTCTGACGTTTACTTCAATTCTCACATGGAAACCAGCTTAAGAATTTGCCTCCAACGTTCCCTGCGGCCGTTTTTAGACAGGCACAAGCCCTTCACGCTTAGGATCTCAAGGCGAGCTCCAAGTGAGCTCAAGCTAAGCTTCTCGCTTTCTGTCATGGCACTTCGCGGACAGACAGCGCCTTTTGGCCCCTACGGCGGCCTGCTGCTGAGCTTTTGGAGGAGGGAGCGTACCGAGGAGACGCCCGAGCGCCTGGAGGCGCTGGGAGCGGGCTCGGGCGCTGCCGACGTGGAGTACGAGCAGTTTGTGAAGGCTAAGGAGATCCAGAGGGCCATGTTCCAGGCAGGGAGGGACGGGCGCTGGCTGTGGGCACCGGCTGGTGTGAGTCTAGGGGTCTAGGCCTTTCAGAAGCACAGCGTTTGCGAGCGAAAACGGCGCAGGCGGAGAACAAGACCATTGTGCACCAGTGCGCGGACACCGATATCATCGAGGCAGCGCAAGGTTCGGTGGCTTGCATTGATGGGAACCAGGCAGCAGCTCACGTGGCCTACGCCCTCAGTGACTGCGCCTTCATTTACCCCATCACGCCCAGCTCGCCCATGGGTGAAATGGTGGACGAGTGGGCTGCCCAGGGCCTCATCAACTGCTACGGCCAGAAGCTGAGTGTCACGGAGATGCAGAGCGAGGCTGGTGCGGCGGGAGCGCTGCATGGCTCCTTGAAGGCGGGCGCCTTGGGCACGACCTTCACTGCCAGCCAGGGGCTGCTGCTGATGATCCCCAACATGTACAAGATCGCTGGGGAGCTGCTGCCCTGCGTGATGCACGTGGCGGCGCGGGCCCTGGCCGGGCAGGCGCTGTCCATCTTTGGGGATCACTCAGACGTGATGGCCTGCCGTGCCACGGGCTGGGCGATGCTGGCCTCAGAGTCCGTGGAGATGGCGCAGGTGAACGCGCTGGTATCGCACCTGGTGACCATGGAGAGGCGTGTGCCGGTGCAGCACTTCTTTGACGGCTTCCGCACCAGCCACGAGGTGAACAAGGTGAAGCTCATCGACTACAACACCATGAAGAGTTTCATCAACTGGGATGCCATCAAGGAGCATCACGATTTGGCCATGAACCCAAGGCATCCCCATGTGCAGGGCACCTCGCAGGGCCCCGACATCTTCTTCCAGTGCGTGGAGGCAGGGAACAGCTTCTACGACGGGCTGGCGGATCTGTTCGAGGAGAAGGGCAAGCTGATCCAGCAGAAGACGGGTCTGCACTTCGCCTTGTACGGCTATGAGGGCCACCCGGAGGCGGAGCGCGTGGTCGTGGTCATGGGCAGTGCAGCGGTGACCTGCGGGGAGACGGCGGACTACCTCTCCAAGAAAGGCGAGAAGGTGGGCGTGCTGAAGGTGAGGCTCTTCCGTCCCTGGGACTGCAGCCGATTCCTGGCCGCGCTCCCCACCACCACGAAGCGCATTTGTGTGCTGGACCGGACCAAGGAGCCTGGCTCCCAGGGTGAGCCCCTGCTGTTGGAGGTGGCCGCCACCCTCCATGCCAGCGCTCACTCTGAGGTTGTTGCTGCTTGGCTGTGAGTGCGGATGTCCTGAGCTCTTGATGTCCTCTTGATGCCTTGCCCTTGGTGTTCTTGCTTGGTGTCGGTCTTGTCGTTTGCCCGCGCCTGCCGTCCCTTCTCTTCACAGTCGTCCGCGCAGCTTGTAAGGTCATCGGCGGCCGTTACGGCCTGGGCTCCAAAGAGTTCACGCCCAACATGGTGCTCTCCGTCTTCGAGAACTTGGGAGCGGAGACACCCAAGCCCCGCTTTACCGTGGGCATCAATGATGATGTCACGCATCTGTCTTTGCCTGTAGGTCCCTGGCTCAATGTTTTGCCTGAGGGCACCACTGAGTGCATGTTCTACGGATTGGGCAGCGACGGAACCGTGGGCGCCAACAAGAGCGCGGTGAAGATGATCGCGCTCGGGACAGAGCTGCATGCCCAAGCCTACTTTGAGTACGATGCCAAGAAGAGTGGCGGAGTCACCATCAGCCACTTGCGCTTCGGCCCCAAGCCGATCCACGCTCCATACAATGTGCGAGCCGCAGATTATTTGGCCATCCACAAGCAGAGCTACGTGCAGCAGTACGACATGACGAGGTATCTGAAGCAGAATGCGGTGTGCGTGATCAATTGCTCGTGGGGCAAAGACGAGCTGGAGAAACAGCTGCCGGCGAAAATGCGCAAGGACTTGGCCAGCAAGGGAGCCAAGCTCTTCATCATCGATGCAACCAAGATCGCTGTGAAGGCGGGCTTGGGCAAACGTATCAACATGATCATGCAGACGGTCTTCTTCAAGCTGAGCGCCGTGATGCCCTACGAAGAGGCAGTGGAGATGCTCAAGAAGAGCATCAAGAAAATGTACGGCAAGAAGGGCGATGCGGTGGTGAAGATGAACATCGACGGCGTGGATGCCTCCATTGAGGGCATCATCCCCTGTGAGATCCCGGCATCTTGGGCACAGGTGGAGGTGGAGGGCGATACCGGCGCTGCCCAACGCAAGATGGGTCCCTACGCCAAGGGTCCTCGGATGTTCCCTGAGCTGCAGGATGCCGAACAGTTCGCCAAGCAGGTGCAGGCCCCTTGCAACAGCCTGGACGGCAGTGCCCTGCCGGTGAGCGCCTTTGTGCCAGGCGGCCGTGTTCCGCTGGGCACCAGCCAGTACGAGAAGCGCGGTATCGCCATCAAGGTGCCACAGGTGGACATGGACAAGTGCACGCAGTGCAACAAGTGCAGCCTCATTTGCCCCCACGCGGCGGTGCGGCCCTTCCTGATGACCTCCCAGGAGCTGCAGACTGCGCCTGCCACCTTCAAATCAGGCAGCCGCGCTGCCATTGGTGGTGGTGTGCTGGACAGCCTCCAGTACCGCATCCAGGTGTCACCGTGGGACTGCACCGGCTGCGAGCTTTGCGTGCGCATTTGCCCGGCAGATGCGCTCACGCTGGCACCTGCCGAGAAGGTCATCCAGGAAGAAGAGGAGAACTGGGACTTTGCGGTGAAGCTGCCGGACCGTGGGGAGGAGATCGACAAGACCACGGTGAAGGCAGGGCTTTGACTTCACATGATTTCGCGTGATTTCGTTTTACGCCCCAGATGCATGCTGCAAGGAGCGAGTCCGTGCTTTCCTTTTTTTCGTTTTCCCTGCCAGGGCTCGCAGTTCCAGAAGCCGTTTTTGGAATTCTCGGGGGCCTGCGAGGGCTGCGGTGAGACGCCCCATGTGAAGCTCATGACGCAGCTCTTCGGTGAGCGTCTGGTCATCGCCAACGCCACAGGCTGCTCCTCCATTTGGGGCGGCTCCAACCCCTCCTTCCCCTACACGGTGAACTCCAAGGGTGAAGGCCCCGCCTGGGCCAACTCCCTCTTCGAGGACAATGCCGAGTTCGGCTTTGGCATGCGCAAGGCAGCGAGAGCGCACCCAACATGCCATTAGCGTAGAAGACAAAAAGCACTGAAAGCATGAACAAGCGAAACCGGCAACAAACAAGGACCGTGCTCGGCCGCATGTACTCGCTTGGCTGCGCAAAGCCTGCTAGGCCTTCAAGCAGCGCCGGGACTACCTGGCACTGCAGGTGGAGGAGGCTCTCAATGACCAGGCAGTGAAGATGTCGGAGCAGCTGCGCTCAACGCTGCAGCAGCACCTTGTCCAGATTTCAGTGAGTCAAGAAATTGGGAGGTATGCTATTGTTTGCGGCATGTTCGGGCATTGCTCGGATTGCCAGGCTTGCCCGATTTGTTTGCTTTCAGCTTCGCCGCGGGGTGAGGTATCTGGTGATGCGCAAGGAGCAGATGCACGACCTGCTGCTGCCCAGGGGCCGCAGCATCTACCACCAAATCATGGAGAAGCTGACGCCAATGCTGGAGAAGGAGAAGGATACGCATCCCAAGATCAAGGCGCTCTACGACTTGGAGGATCGTTGGTAGAAACCCTTAGCAAGCACTTGTTCATCTCATGACCCTCGTGGTAAGGGTGCGTTCCCATGTCATGCCCAGAGGACATGTTCGGGCGCAGCAGCTTCTGGATGGTGGGCGGCGACGGCTGGGCCTACGACATTGGCTATGGCGGCCTGGATCATGTCATCGCAAGTGAGGAGCACGTGAACATCTTTGTGCTGGCAGCTCGCTTGCACTGGGAACTGTGTGGCAGGACGTTGTAAGAAGCAACGCGCAACTCAGCTCACCCGTGCATTGCAAGCCTTGTGAGCCTGTGAGCCTGTGAGCCTTGAATACATTGCGATCTCAGGACACGGAGATGTACAGCAACACCGGAGGCCAAGCCTCCAAGGCCACACCCAAAGGAGCTATGGCCAAGTTTGCTGAGAGCGGCGTCCCGGCTGACACTAATGCCTTGAACAAATGCGAAGGCAAAACAAGCTGCGCTTGAAGCGTGCCCCTTAGGTAAGATGACGCAGAAGAAGGATCTTGGGCAGCTGGCGATGACTTACAAGAATGCCGCTCGGCTGTCTGAGTGCTGCTCGCACATTTTTTACCATGCTCAGTTCCTTGTTTGTGTACCGACCACAAGACTTCAATGGGATTGATGGGTGCAGATGGGAGTTTTCGGCCCAGGTCTACGTCGCCAGCATCTGCGTGCACGTGAACCCCCAGCAAGCGGTCCGTGCGCTCATTGAGGCGGACGCATACCCGGGGCCCAGTTTGGTGCTGGCCTACGCACCCTGCATCAGCCAAGGCTTCCCCATGGCGGAGTCCATCCAGCACTGCCAGATGGCCGTGGACAGCGGCTACTGGCCGCTGTACCGTTACAACCCCGAGCTGGCGACGCAAGGCAACAACCCCTTCCAGCTGGACAGCCGCAAGATCAAGGGCGATCTCTTCAAGTTCCTGGCCAAAGAGAATCGCTTTGCGGCGGTCATGCGCAGGGACCCGAGGCATGCTGAAGAGCTGGACAAGAGGCTGCAGGACAACGTGGTCCAGAAGAATCACCTGCTGCAGGTGCTGAACAAGGAGGACTTGGAGGGCCAGTTCCACAAGTTGGTGGAGGGCCTGTCGGATGCCAAGAGCTCAGGGGATTCCATCACGGTGCTCTTCGGCAGCGAGACGGGCAATGCAGAGGAGCAGGCGAAGAACTTGGTGCAGGACCTGGCGGCCCGCGGGCTGAAGGCCACCGCCAGCTCTCTGGACGACTTCGAGTTCGAGGAGCTGCCCAACCAGAAGATGCTGATTCTGGTGGTGTCGACCTGCGGTCTGGGCGAATACCCCGCCAACTCCAAGCAGACCTGGCTGAAGCTGCAGTCGCCAGAGCTGCCGATGACCTGGCTGAACGGCGTGAAGTTCTGCGTCTTCGGCCTCGGGGACTCCACCTACAGCCAGTTCTGCGTGGCCGCCGTGGGCTTCGACACTCGCCTCGGCGAGCTGGGAGCCCAGCGCATCCTGAAGCGGGGCGTCGGCGACGACCGCGACGAGGACCGCTACTACACTGGCTGGGAGGCCGGGGCCTTTGAAAGAGCACATGGGCCCGAGACCATGTGGGACATGTCGATGCGTTTCGCATTCAAACCGTTCCAGGCTAGATTGGGCATGGATGTTCCAAAGTGTCTTTTGAGGCCTGGCAGCCGGAGCTGTGGAAGGTCTTGGGCGCGCCGCCTCTGCCCTTGTCCTCGGAGCCTCCCGCGCCCTGCTACCGCGTGGACGTCTCCCCCGGTGCGCTGGAGAAGCCGCCAGTGAAGGACGACGACATTGTGCCGCCAGGGGCCACCAAGTTGGAGCTGCTCACCAACCGCGTGCTCACGGGCGACGCCAAGTACGACCGCGACATCCGGCACTACGAGTTCAAGATCGAGGGCACCTCCGTGTCTTACAAGACCGGGGAGAGCCTGGCCATTTGGCCCCGCAATCCCGTGCCCAAGGTGCTGGAGTTCTGCCAGATGATGGGCTTCGACGCAGGCCAGCATTTGCGCGTGCTTCCCATGGAAGGTGCAAGGAACTGGTGCCCACAGGAGCTGAGCGTGCGCCAGCTCTTCTCTCATGTGCTGGACGTCTTTGGAAAGCCCAACCGCAAGTTCTTCGAGACCCTGTGCTACTTTGCCAAGGATGAAGGAGAGAAGAAGCAGCTGCAGAGCATTGTGGAGAACAGCAAGGACGGTGCAGCACTGTACCGCGACTTGACCCACGACTTTGCGCATCACGCGGACGTGTTCAAAAAGTTCGCAAGCGTACGGCCGCCCATTGAGCAGCTGCTTCAGATGATCCCAGTGCTGAAGCCGCGGGCCTACTCCATCGCCAGCTCGCCCATGATGCACCCAGACAAGATCCAGCTGTGTGTGGTGCTGGTTGACTGGACGGTGGAGAGCACCAAGGAGCTGCGCCTAGGCGAGGCCACCGGGTATATGATTGAGCAGAAGCCGGGCACGCAGATCATGTGCGCGGTGCGCTCGAGCGCCATCGTATTGCCCGAGGAGCCTACGAGGCCGATCCTCATGGCAGGCATGGGCACAGGTTTGGCGCCCTGGCGTGCAGTGACTCAGGAGCGCATCATGCAACACCGGCAGGGCCTGAAGGTGGGCCCTTGCATGCTCTTCTTCGGTGCCCGCTACGCCGTGGAGTACCTGTACCGGGAGGAGTTTGAGAGCTACGTGAAGGAGGGCGTGCTGAGCATGCACACCGCCTTCTCTCGGGAGCAGGCACGCAAGATTTATGTGCAGCACCGGATCCTGGAGGCGGGTGAGCGCGTGGCGCAGTTCATGCTGCACGAGAACGGCCACTTCTACGTGTGCGGCTCAGCGCGGCAGGTGCCTGAAGACATCTACACGGCCATGAAGGAGGTCATCATGGTCGCCGAGCAGTGCGCAGAGGAGGAGGCGGAGGCCATCCTGTCCAACTTAAAGATGGAAGGTAGATATACGGTTGAAGCCTGGTCCTGAGATGTCCGCAATCTGGACACGTCCTGAGATACCTGATGAATTTCTAAGATGTGCCTTTTTGTTTACATGGGGTCCTGAGGAAAGCTTTGGCTCAGGATTCTCATGATTCAAGTGCAGGGCTTGCAACTCCCCACACCCAAAGAGATTTCAGAGAGACGGTGGTGTATGCTTCATGCCCTGCACTTGGTGCCAGCGGTTTCCGAGTTCGCTTGTTGAAACCAGGGTTTAGGACCTACTCGCCGTGGTGAGCCAGATTCGCGTGCCACAAAGTTGCCGGAGCGTGTTTATCCGTGTGCAGATTTTCTATTTGAAAGAAGCTGTCGGAGCAGTCTTGAAGCAGCCCTGTTGCGGCCGTTTTAGACAGGCACAAGCCCTTCACGCTTAGGATCTCAAGGCGAGCTCCAAGTGAGCTCAAGCTAAGCTTCTCGCTTTCTGTCATGGCACTTCGCGGACAGACAGCGCCTTTTGGCCCCTACGGCGGCCTGCTGCTGAGCTTTTGGAGGAGGGAGCGTACCGAGGAGACGCCCGAGCGCCTGGAGGCGCTGGGAGCGGGCTCGGGCGCTGCCGACGTGGAGTACGAGCAGTTTGTGAAGGCTAAGGAGATCCAGAGGGCCATGTTCCAGGCAGGGAGGGACGGGCGCTGGCTGTGGGCACCGGCTGGTGTGAGTCTAGGGGTCTAGGCCTTTCAGAAGCACAGCGTTTGCGAGCGAAAACGGCGCAGGCGGAGAACAAGACCATTGTGCACCAGTGCGCGGACACCGATATCATCGAGGCAGCGCAAGGTTCGGTGGCTTGCATTGATGGGAACCAGGCAGCAGCTCACGTGGCCTACGCCCTCAGTGACTGCGCCTTCATCTACCCCATCACGCCCAGCTCGCCCATGGGTGAAATGGTGGACGAGTGGGCTGCCCAGGGCCTCATCAACTGCTACGGCCAGAAGCTGAGTGTCACGGAGATGCAGAGCGAGGCTGGCGCGGCGGGAGCGCTGCATGGCTCCTTGAAGGCGGGCGCCTTGGGCACGACCTTCACTGCCAGCCAGGGGCTGCTGCTGATGATCCCCAACATGTACAAGATCGCTGGGGAGCTGCTGCCCTGCGTGATGCACGTGGCGGCGCGGGCCCTGGCCGGGCAGGCGCTGTCCATCTTTGGGGATCACTCAGACGTGATGGCCTGCCGTGCCACGGGCTGGGCGATGCTGGCCTCAGAGTCCGTGGAGATGGCGCAGGTGAACGCGCTGGTATCGCACCTGGTGACCATGGAGAGGCGTGTGCCGGTGCAGCACTTCTTTGACGGCTTCCGCACCAGCCACGAGGTGAACAAGGTGAAGCTCATCGACTACAACACCATGAAGAGTTTCATCAACTGGGATGCCATCAAGGAGCATCACGATTTGGCCATGAACCCAAGGCATCCCCATGTGCAGGGCACCTCGCAGGGCCCCGACATCTTCTTCCAGTGCGTGGAGGCAGGGAACAGCTTCTACGACGGGCTGGCGGATCTGTTCGAGGAGAAGGGCAAGCTGATCCAGCAGAAGACGGGTCTGCACTTCGCCTTGTACGGCTATGAGGGCCACCCGGAGGCGGAGCGCGTGGTCGTGGTCATGGGCAGTGCAGCGGTGACCTGCGGGGAGACGGCGGACTACCTCTCCAAGAAAGGCGAGAAGGTGGGCGTGCTGAAGGTGAGGCTCTTCCGTCCCTGGGACTGCAGCCGATTCCTGGCGGCGCTCCCCACCACCACGAAGCGCATTTGTGTGCTGGACCGGACCAAGGAGCCTGGCTCCCAGGGTGAGCCCCTGCTGTTGGAGGTGGCCGCCACCCTCCATGCCAGCGCTCACTCTGAGGTTGTTGCTGCTTGGCTGTGAGTGCGGATGTCCTGAGCTCTTGATGTCCTCTTGATGCCTTGCTCTTGGTGTTCTTGCTTGGTGTCGGTCTTGTCGTTTGCCCGCGCCTGCCGTCCCTTCTCTTCCCAGTCGTCCGCGCAGCTTGTAAGGTCATCGGCGGCCGTTACGGCCTGGGCTCCAAAGAGTTCACGCCCAACATGGTGCTCTCCGTCTTCGAGAACTTGGGAGCGGAGACACCCAAGCCCCGCTTTACCGTGGGCATCAATGATGATGTCACGCATCTGTCTTTGCCTGTAGGTCCCTGGCTCAATGTTTTGCCTGAGGGCACCACTGAGTGCATGTTCTACGGATTGGGCAGCGACGGAACCGTGGGCGCCAACAAGAGCGCGGTGAAGATGATCGCGCTCGGGACAGAGCTGCATGCCCAAGCCTACTTTGAGTACGATGCCAAGAAGAGTGGCGGAGTCACCATCAGCCACTTGCGCTTCGGCCCCAAGCCGATCCACGCTCCATACAATGTGCGAGCCGCAGATTATTTGGCCATCCACAAGCAGAGCTACGTGCAGCAGTACGACATGACGAGGTATCTGAAGCAGAATGCGGTGTGCGTGATCAATTGCTCGTGGGGCAAAGACGAGCTGGAGAAACAGCTGCCGGCGAAAATGCGCAAGGACTTGGCCACCAAGGGAGCCAAGCTCTTCATCATCGATGCAACCAAGATCGCTGTGAAGGCGGGCTTGGGCAAACGTATCAACATGATCATGCAGACGGTCTTCTTCAAGCTGAGCGCCGTGATGCCCTACGAAGAGGCAGTGGAGATGCTCAAGAAGAGCATCAAGAAAATGTACGGCAAGAAGGGCGATGCGGTGGTGAAGATGAACATCGACGGCGTGGATGCCTCCATTGAGGGCATCATCCCCTGTGAGATCCCGGCATCTTGGGCACAGGTGGAGGTGGAGGGCGACACCGGCGCTGCCCAACGCAAGATGGGTCCCTACGCCAAGGGTCCTCGGATGTTCCCTGAGCTGCAGGATGCCGAACAGTTCGCCAAGCAGGTGCAGGCCCCTTGCAACAGCCTGGACGGCAGTGCCCTGCCGGTGAGCGCCTTTGTGCCAGGCGGCCGTGTTCCGCTGGGCACCAGCCAGTACGAGAAGCGCGGCATCGCCATCAAGGTGCCACAGGTGGACATGGACAAGTGCACGCAGTGCAACAAGTGCAGCCTCATTTGCCCCCACGCGGCGGTGCGGCCCTTCCTGATGACCTCCCAGGAGCTGCAGACTGCGCCTGCCACCTTCAAATCAGGCAGCCGCGCTGCCATTGGTGGTGGTGTGCTGGACAGCCTCCAGTACCGCATCCAGGTGTCACCGTGGGACTGCACCGGCTGCGAGCTTTGCGTGCGCATTTGCCCGGCAGATGCGCTCACGCTGGCACCTGCCGAGAAGGTCATCCAGGAAGAAGAGGAGAACTGGGACTTTGCGGTGAAGCTGCCGGACCGTGGGGAGGAGATCGACAAGACCACGGTGAAGGCAGGGCTTTGACTTCACATGATTTCGCGTGATTTCGTTTTACGCCCCAGATGCATGCTGCAAGGAGCGAGTCCGTGCTTTCCTTTTTTTCGTTTTCCCTGCCAGGGCTCGCAGTTCCAGAAGCCGTTTTTGGAATTCTCGGGGGCCTGCGAGGGCTGCGGTGAGACGCCCCATGTGAAGCTCATGACGCAGCTCTTCGGTGAGCGTCTGGTCATCGCCAACGCCACAGGCTGCTCCTCCATTTGGGGCGGCTCCAACCCCTCCTTCCCCTACACGGTGAACTCCAAGGGTGAAGGCCCCGCCTGGGCCAACTCCCTCTTCGAGGACAATGCCGAGTTCGGCTTTGGCATGCGCAAGGCAGCGAGAGCGCACCCAACATGCCATTAGCGTAGAAGACAAAAAGCACTGAAAGCATGAACAAGCGAAACCGGCAACAAACAAGGACCGTGCTCGGCCGCATGTACTCGCTTGGCTGCGCAAAGCCTGCTAGGCCTTCAAGCAGCGCCGGGACTACCTGGCACTGCAGGTGGAGGAGGCTCTCAATGACCAGGCAGTGAAGATGTCGGAGCAGCTGCGCTCAACGCTGCAGCAGCACCTTGTCCAGATTTCAGTGAGTCAAGAAATTGGGAGGTATGGTATTGTTTGCGGCATGTTCGGGCATTGTTCGGATTGCCAGGCTTGCCCGATTTGTTTGCTTTCAGCTTCGCCGCGGGGTGAGGTATCTGGTGATGCGCAAGGAGCAGATGCACGACCTGCTGCTGCCCAGGGGCCGCAGCATCTACCACCAAATCATGGAGAAGCTGACGCCAATGCTGGAGAAGGAGAAGGATACGCATCCCAAGATCAAGGCGCTCTACGACTTGGAGGATCGTTGGTAGAAACCCTTAGCAAGCACTTGTTCATCTCATGACCCTCGTGGTAAGGGTGCGTTCCCATGTCATGCCCAGAGGACATGTTCGGGCGCAGCAGCTTCTGGATGGTGGGCGGCGACGGCTGGGCCTACGACATTGGCTATGGCGGCCTGGATCATGTCATCGCAAGTGAGGAGCACGTGAACATCTTTGTGCTGGCAGCTCGCTTGCACTGGGAACTGTTTGGCAGGACGTTGTAAGAAGCAACGCGCAACTCAGCTCACCCGTGCATTGCAAGCCTTGTGAGCCTGTGAGCCTGTGAGCCTTGAATGCGTTGCGATCTCAGGACACGGAGATGTACAGCAACACCGGAGGCCAAGCCTCGAAGGCCACACCCAAAGGAGCTATGGCCAAGTTTGCTGAGAGCGGCGTCCCGGCTGACACTAATGCCTTGAACAAATGCGAAAGCAAAACAAGCTGCGCTTGAAGCGTGCCCCTTAGGTAAGATGACGCAGAAAAAGGATCTTGGGCAGCTGGCGATGACTTACAAGAATGCCGCTCGGCTGTCTGAGTGCTGCTCGCACATTTTTTGCCATGCTCAGTTCCTTGTTTGTGTACCGACCACAAGACTTCAATGGGATTGATGGGTGCAGATGGGAGTTTTCGGCCCAGGTCTACGTCGCCAGCATCTGCGTGCACGTGAACCCCCAGCAAGCGGTCCGTGCGCTCATTGAGGCGGACGCATACCCGGGGCCCAGTTTGGTGCTGGCCTACGCACCCTGC